GACTCCTATTTAGTAGAATTTGGAGTCTTTTCGGAACGAAGGTATGTTTTATGATTTACCTTGTAAAAAAAAATTAGATCAAAATTATGGTGAAAGTTGTTGTTATTTATATATATATATATATATTGTATATAAAAAAAAAAAAAAAATCATTTGTTATTAACTTTTACATATTGTCAATACAAAACTGGTTTTCTTATCGAATAAATAATTTCGAAAACATTTCAAATTTATTTAAAAGTTTATAAAATTTTTTAAATTTACTTTAATTATTAATTGTGATTAGGATTTTATCAGGAGGTCACTCAACAATAAAATCTATTAAGGGGAAAGGGGGGGAAGGGGAGGGGGAAATGTAAAATTGATTTTAATTGTTTTGTAACGAATAAAATTATTAATTGTATGATTGAAACGAATTAAATGAAATCATTCGTGTTAAAATTTTTTTTTTCTCATTTTTTCTTTTTATAAAATTACTAATAAAAACGTGATTTTCATTTCCCACCAGATGTTTCATTCCATTGTAAAATAAAAAAATCAATTTAAATTGCAAACATTACAAACAGAAACAACGAATAATAATTTTGAAATATTGCAAATTGTTTCGTTTTTTGTTTTGTCGTTGTTGTTGTTTTTGTAAATTTACAAATTAGTAGATGAAGAAGAAAAAGAAAATTTTTTTTCAATTTTATGCTTTAAGCATTTCAAATTTGTTTTTTTTTAAACTTAACCTATGTAATTATCTAAAAAAAAAAATAAATAAATAAATAAATAATGGAATGAAAACAAAAGTCGAGTTAATCGCATGCTAATGCATTTTAAAATATAAATTTTTAATTTTTAAACGTAATCATCATTATTATTACAATATTATTATTATTATTTTCATTGTGTGTGTGTGTGTGTGTTTGTGTGTGTGTGTGTGTGTGTGTGTGTGTTTGTGTGTTTGTGTGTGTTTGTGTGAGTATAAAATTTCATTATGCCAATGTGATGATGTTCTCAGGTCAAGTGGTTTAAGTAAAATATTAGTAAATATTATTTATTCTTATTTCGATTTAAATTTTTTAAGGTCATTGTGATATCTTTGTGGTGGTTGTTGTTGTTTTTCAACTTGAAGCATTTTACTATCATTGAAATTACATTTTTGTTTAGATTTGTGGTTATGGTTGTTGTTGTTGTTGTTGTTGCAATTTAGATCATTTTTTTTATTTATTTATTTTTTTTAAAATCAGTTTTAGTTTTCTCACGTTTTTTTTTTTTTTTTCTTTTAGAAATCACGATTTTTTTTGATTATTTACACAGATCACAATCAAGTACAAATTTTAAAAAATCATTTTTCTAATTATTATTATTATTATTTGAAAAACTTAATAACGTGACAACATTTTTATGTGAACTTGAATTTTTATTGACTCACGCGTTTGTTACCATTAATAATAAAATTTTTCATCATCTCGTGCATGAGATGAAGTTGCAGTTTCTCAAAATCTGTGACGTAATCACAATTGTGTCAGCATCATCAAATTATATTCGATCGAATAAATAATAATAATAATAATAATAAAACCAAAAACAACAGCAAAAATTTGGGCATATGTTTGTTTGTTAGGTTTCATTCGAAGGTAAATTTGTTTGTTGTTTGTTTTTCTCTCTCTTTCTCTCTCTCTCTCATCTCTCTCTCTCTCTCTCTCTCTCTCTCTCTCTCTCTTTCTCTCTCTCTCTCTCTCAATCTCTCCCTTTCTCTCAATCTCTCTCTCTCTCTCTCTCTCTCTCTCTCTCTCTCTCTATACGTTCCTGTTTGTTGGCAAATTTTTAGATAACGTGCACGAAAACGAAAACGAAAAAGTAAAAAAAAAAAATTTACGATTTTTTGTTTGTTTTATTTTTTTTCCGTTTGAAAAACCAACGTGAAGAAATACTCATTAATATCATTATTATTATTATTTAAACAAACGTGTTTGTTTTACTACATTAATTTTTTTACTCGTTTTCAACGCGTGCCCGATAAACTCTTTTTTTTTCTTTCTTATCAATCCGTTTGTTTTTATTTTTTTTTTCCACTTCTTCTTCTTCTTCTTAAAATAAATACTAATGATAATGATAATGATGATTGCAAAAAAAAAAAAAAAAAAAATTCGCATTTAAAATTTTTTTTTTTTTTTTCGACGTGGAAGAAGAATCGTTAGGGAGTGAACGGATGAATGGGTTTAGAAAGGGAAGAAAAGAAAAACCTTTCAGAATTTTTTATTAAAATGAATGATAATGATAATGATGACAAATGGGTTTTTTCGGGTGATTCCCCTTCTTTCGCCTCCCCTCTCCCCCTCCCAAATGTTTTTTTTCTCGGGGTTTTTTTTCCTGTAAAAAAAAAAAAAAAAAAATTGCTCCAATTTTTTTATTGTTTTTTATTCGTTATCGATAAGGAAATTAAAATCCCATACGATTAATTAATTAATTAATTAATCGATTAATCAGCGTTTCGAACGGCTGACATTAATTATTATTATTATTATTATTAATTATTTTCTAGTGCGAAACGGTATAAATGCCTACGTCGAACGGTGAAAACTTATTATTATTATTATTAAAGATTTTTAATTTAAAGGTTGTGAAGGTGTTTGGGTTTTGTAGGTCATTGACACCAAATGAAATGTTTACTTATCACGATTACGTAATTCGTTTCGCCTTCCCTCCCTCCCCACCTTCCCCTCCGTCGTGAATAATCCAAACTTCCCTTGAATAATAAATTTCGAATCATTAAAATGAAATTTTTTTTTTTTTTTTTTTCTCCAGAGCATAAGATAGTAATGGTTGGATTGGACAATGCTGGAAAGACGACGATATTATATCAGTTTTTGATGAACGAAGTTGTTCACACGAGTCCGACGATAGGTTCAAACGTCGAAGAATTCGTATGGAGAAACATACATTTCATAATGTGGGATCTCGGAGGACAGCAAAGTCTTAGAGCAGCTTGGAGTACTTACTACACCAACACGGAAGTGAGAAAGAGAGAGAGAGAGAGAGAGAGAGAGACAAAAGAAAAAAAAGGTTCGGCCTTCATATTCATTCTTCTGTTTTTCCTTTTTTCAGTTTGTGATAGTCGTGATAGATTCGACGGATAAGGAAAGGTTGTTCATGGCAAAAGAAGAACTTTGGAGAATGTTGGCACACGAAGACCTCGCGAAAGCCGCCGTTTTGATATACGCCAACAAACAAGATGTCAAAGGTTCGCTTTCCGCGGCGGAAATATCCAAACAGTTAGATTTAACATCGATAAAAGAACATCAGTGGACGATACAGGGGTGTTGCGCGCTCACAGGAGAAGGGTATGTGTCGTACCACCCCCTCGAAGACAGTAGGAGGTACCACCTACCGAAAAAGTGTGGTTTTCCCATTCCGGAAAGTTTGCTTGATCGTTTTTGAAAAAAACCCGATCCAAAATTACCATAGCGCCGTGGCCTGTGACCTTTTACCCCCCCTCCTTCCTCTCTTCCTCCTCTCCCCCCGCGAATTAACGAGAGAGAGAGAGAGAAAAGTAATTTACGCGCGAGTGAAAGAAAACAAAAAAAAAAAAATTAAAAATGAAATTTTCTTTTCTATTTTGTTTGCGGTCTGATTCCGGTCGGTCACTTTTACTTTCTCCGCCCCTTCCCCTCCCCTCCCCTCCCCTCCCCACACAATTAAAACGGTTTTTTCTCCGTCGATTATTATTATTATTACCATTACTATTATAACCGACGAGTAAATGGCGCGATTTCATTTCGTTTTCGCTTTCATCTCTCTCTCTCTCTCTCTCTCTCTCTAACTTTTTCTTCCAATTTCGTTCACTTATCATTATTATCATTTGGAAAACGCGCGCACACGCACACGCACGCACGCACGCACGCATTTCCCATACATTTTTGTTTGTTTTCCCTCCGACGGCGTTTTTCTTTCCACCCGTTTATGTTTTGTTTGTCTTTTTCAGATTGTGTCAAGGCTTAGAATGGATAGTGAGCAGGATAAAGAAAAAATGACAAACGTGAAATTAGGATTCGAAAAAGGAGAGAAAGAAAAAGGAAAAATAATAATGATAATAATAATAATAATAATAATATTTTTTTATACTTTCTTTTTTTTAAATCGTAACGGACCTCTTTGAATTTTTTTTTCATTTTTTTTTTTCAATTTTTTTTTGTCATTCTGATTATTATTATTATTAATATTATCATCATTATCATTTTAATTATTATTATTATTATTTAAATGAAATCGAATCAGGTGATAAGGAAGACAATCCCGAGAGTAAAATAAAAAAAAAAAGTTTTCAGTTTTATGCAAATAAATGTTATGTACATATATATAAGTAAACGCGTGAACGTGATGCGTAAATATATATATATATAAACTTATTATTATTATTATTCTCTTAAATTAATCACGTGGGTGGGCGGGGGTGGGGGGAATAAGGAAAAAAATAAAAGGTTGTGAAAATAACATTAACAAAAATTACAAAAATGTAAAAGAAAGAGAGAGAGAGAGAGAGTGAAAGAGAGAAAGAAGAGGTCATTGCCTTTTTTTTTTAAAATATTATTATTATTATTATTATTAATACGTCGGTCCGTAAGAATGCGGGAACGATTATTATTATTATTATTATTATTAATTTTTATTCTTGCGTTTTTTTTCTTTCGTAAGGGTCCAAAATTTTTAAAAAAATAAAAAAAAAATTTGAACGAAAAGTTTTACAAACAAGTGATTATTATTATTATTATTATTATTATCATTATTATTATTAATATTATTATCATCATTATTATTATTATTATAATTAAAATGTGGCGCTTGAAAAATATTGATAATTAATTGTTTTTCTGGAGTCATTCCCGTTCTGAATGAAAACAAAAACAGGAAGAAAGATGATGATGATGGGAAAGGAGAGGAGAGGAGTGGATCGGGATTGGTTAATTAATAATAATAATGATAATAATAATGATAATTAAACGAAATTCAAGCATTTATTTCTAAGGAATCATCGAGTTGAAACCTGGAATGAATGTTTTAAAAAAAAATTCCGACAAGTTCGCGCAAAAAATTTTGTCGTCGGTTAAAGTGAAAATAATAATAATAATAATAATAATAATAATAATAATAATAATAATAATAATAATAATAATAATAATAATAATAATAATAATAATAATAATAATAATAATAATAATAATAATAATAATAATAATAATAATAATAATTTTTTTTGTCCAACATCACCAACTTGATGAAGTTTTCACGATGGTCGTGATTGGTTAATTTTTTTTTTTTTAATTTTTATTTTTTTAACCGGAAATCCTGTTTGTTAAAATAAATAACTGTGAGTCGTAAATAAAAAAAAAAAAATAGAAAACCACGAGGGGAAATTGATTTTTATTAATAAAAACAACAACAACAACAATAATAATAATAATAATAATAATAATAATGATAATTTTAATAACAACAAATAAATAAACTAGAAAAATTAAATAAGGAAATATTTTTATTAAAAAAAAAAAATAATAATAATTATTATTTTTCTCAATTTATTAAAAGTATGAAAAAAACAACAACTTTTGGAGAAAAAAAGTGACGTCATCAGTCGTAAAATTTTACATTACCGCGACGTCATTACTTTATATAAATATGAATGATGATGATTTTACTAAGAAATTTACGACGATTTAAAAAAAAAAAAAAAACGGTCTCGTAAGAATTTTTTTTTTTTTCATATTATTAAAAATCCGAATTTAAATAAATAATCGTAATCATTATTATTATTATTGTTAACATTATTAACGCTATCTATATTATTATTATTATTAAAATAAATAAGAATTATAAATTAATAGAATTAAAATAAATAATTTTTTTTTGAATTTTGCTTTTAGCGACGGTAAAAAAATTTTTTTTTTTTTTTTTTTTTATTTTATTAAAAAGAAATAATGATAATAATAATAATAATGATGATAATAAAATTATGGAATTTTGAAATGTTTTCATTTAGAAAAAGAAAGAAGGGAAAGGGGGAGGGAAGAGGGAGGATGGAGGAGGGGAAAATGTTAAAACCAAATTTTTCAGTGAGACAAACACGTGTAGTAGAATCCACCGAAGAGAGAGAGAGAGAGAGTTTTTGGAATCAAGTTTTCCAGTAAGTTTTCCAGCGAGACTAACACGTATAGTAGAATCCATCCAAAAGGTAGAGTGAGAGAGCTCTGGAGCCAAATTTTCCAGTAAGACGAACACGTTGTAGAATCCATCCAAGAGGTAGAGAGAGAGAGAGCTCTGGAGGCAAATTTTCCAGTGAGACATACTCGTATAGTAGAATCCATCCAAGTGAGAGAGAGAGAGAGAGAGAGCTTTGGTAACCAAATTTTCCAGTGAGACGAACACGTACAGTAGAATTCATCCAAGAGAGAGAGAGAGAGAGCTCTGGAGGCAAATTTTCCAGTGAGACATACTCGTATAGTAGAATCCATCCAAGTGAGAGAGAGAGAGAGAGAGCTTTGGTAACCAAATTTTCCAGTGAGACGAACACGTATAGTAGAATCCATCCAAGAGAGAGAGAGAGAGAGCTCTGGAGAAATTTTTCCAGTGAGACTAACACGTATAGTAGAATCCATCCAAGAGAGAGAGAGAGAGAGAATATCATCAACTTATCCGGCAAGTATATTTTTCCATACAATTCCGACCGGAAATACCATAATTAATGGCTTCATCCATGTGTGAAAGGGCATTTAAATATTTCGTGTTATTAAACGGCCTGGAAAACGGTAAAAAAAAAAAAAAAAAATGAAAAATTTTATCATCACGATCATGATAATAATAATAATAAAAATAAGGAAAATTTTGAAATTACTCGGTTAGATATTGATATCCTTTGAGAAATAATCTTCCAGTAAATGCATATTCTTCTGCTTTTATCGGATCGAGACAAGCAATTTTTTTCATGCAATCATAATCTTGAGTCTTATCACCTCTTAGATAACCCAACATCATTAAAAGTTCAGATTCGGTTAAAAATTTTGAATTTTTTAAAAAAAAATTCCCGTTGTCGCGTATGACGTCATCAACATACGACGATGACGATCTTCCATAATTATAATGTTGCGGTCCGAAACCGAAGGCTCCAGCACCGAAAACGATGGCTTTTAATATCATTAATATGAATAAATTTGTAAGATTTAAACTTATGACCTAAATAAAATAAAAATTTTGACTGGAGAAGATGCTGGAACTCGTTTTGGTCCATAGAGAGAGAAAAAACGTTATACTCACCTTGCTGTTTGTCGTACCTCTCGATATCCAATCTTCAGCTAACGATGTTAACATTGACGTGGCACCATTAAAAAATCCGTTAAATTTACCCTCGCGATATTTATTATTATTATTATTATTATATCCGTTAAAACCGTTAAAAATAAACCGAATAAAATAAATAAATGAATTTTAAACATTTTGATTCGATTCGCGTGCGATAAGATTTGTAAATGTTAAATTTTTTAATGCCACGTTTGTTTATATATATACTTTTTACAAAACAATTGAAATTTTTTTTTTTTAATTAAAATGTCGCGTTACGATTCAAATAAACCAAAATGAAAATTAATAATTTTATTCAAATCAATGAAATGAGATGAATCTTTTGTTGTCTACGATTAAAACAACAAACGACAAACAAACAAACAAACAAACGGAAAAAAAAACTTTCTTATTTTATTATTTTAACGGTTCGTTAAATTTTTAAACGGAAAATTTTACTTTTTCTTATTTCCTTCCGGTATTTACCGGAACAAACGTGTTTCCGGTTATTGTTATCATCGTATTAAATAATTATTATCTTCATTTTATCCTGATTGGATGAAATTTTGGCGGGAAATTTGAAATAATCGTACGACGACCGACGGTTAGTCACTCTTCCTTTTCCGTCGTCGTGTCAATAACGTTAAAACGTTTCGTAATTTCCGTTAAATTCAAAATTGATTTTATTTTTATTTTTGGCGGGAAATGTTTTTAAAAAAAATCACCAGATCGCGTTTCTCCGCCATGTTTATTTCAATGTCGTCCATATTTTCACAAACGGAAACAGGTTTTTCGCAACAACAACAACAACAAACGGAAGGAAAATTTTTTTTTTGTTTTAAGAAAACAATAAATTTTATTATTATTATTATTATAAATTAATAATTATATTAAAAATAATTTAAATATATATATAAATGAATAAATTAAATATTTTAAACAAAAAAAAAAAAAAATCGTCAGTCAGTCGAATCGTTTCCAAACCCGTTTGTCCGTTTGTTTGTTTTTTGATAATAATAATAATAATACATTGAAATTAATTATTATTATCAAAACGGGTTAAGGTATCGCGGGTGCAAGGTCGAGACAAATTTTCTGCTGGTGGCAACACCCAAAATTTTTTGTGTGTATAAAAAACCGTTCGGGTTTTATTGTTTGTTTGTTGATGATTGATTGATTGATTAAAAATTTCAATTGACTTTGTTTTGTTTGTTTGTTTGCACGACAACCGAAATAATTATTAAAAAAACAAACGGATTTTTAATTTAATTGATTTTTAAGAAATAAACAAGCAAACAAACAAACAAGGAAACAAATATTATTTTAATTGTTTTTCGATTGAATTATTATTATTATTATTATTTGACAGGAAGTACGTTTAGAAATTTTTTTTTAAAAGGAAAACTTCCGGATTTGACAAAAACGGTTTCGCATAACGTTCGCCTACGTAATATGGAAAACAAGAAAAACTTTCCATGACGGTAAAAAATCCGTTTAATTATATCAACCGGAAGTTGAAGAAAAAAAAAAAACGAACGAAAAAGGAAATACGCGTGTTTTGCAATACGTTTTCATTTGTTTGTTTGTTTGTTTGTTTGTTTCTCTCGTTTCAATGAAAAAAAAAAAACTCGAAAATCGTTTTTTGCCGATTCTTTTGCCATTTTTATGCGGTTGTTACCGCCTGATTTTTTCATCGCAAACAAACATCGAACAGTCTTGAGATTTGGCTCCTTTTATTATTTGATAAACGAAATTTTTCGCCGGATTTTCCACCGTCGTTTGTTCTCCGTTTCTAAAAAAAGAAAAAATTATTATTATTATTATTAGAAAGATTTCCTTTCTTACGCGAAATGTTTATGTAAAAATTGTAAAAAAGAAAAGAAAATGAAAGGAAAGGAAAGGAAAAGAAAGGAAAAGTAATAATCACGTTTTGATTGAAATCATCAAATCTAACTTTTATTATTATTATTATTTTTCTATCGAGTCATTGATCGATCAATCAATCAATCAATCAATCGCTTTCGTGATAATACTATCACGGTCATTAAATGAAAATTTTTATTAAAAAACTATTACTTTAACACGGATGAGAGAAAAAGAGAGTGGAAGACAGAGAGAGAAAAGAATGTAAAGATAGACGAAAAGGAAATGACAAAAGAGAGAAAGAGAGAGAGAAAGAAAGGGAAAACAAGAGAGAAAAAGGAAGAAACAGAAAAGAAGAAAGCAAAAGTGAGAAAAAGAGAGAAAGAAAAGGAAAAGATAGATAAAGAAAGAAAACGAGAGTACAAATGGGAGAAAGAAAGAGAAAAAGAGAACAAAAGAGAGAGAGAGAAGATAAAAAGAGAAGATAAAAGAGAAAAAAGAAGATAAAAATAGACAGAGAGAGAAAAGGTGAGTGCAAAAAAGAGAAAGAGATAGAGAGAAAAGGAAAAAACGAAAGAGAGAAAGAGAGAGAAAAGGTGAGTGCAAAAAAGAGAAAGAGAGAGAGAGAGAAAGAAAAAATAGATAAAGAGAGAGAAAATGATAGAACAAAAGAGAGAGAGAGAAATAACGTGTCCCACATATCGTTTGCAATTAATGACGAAAACCGCAATGGCGTGAATAATGTTACAAACGTTCGTTTTCATTTAAAAAAAAAAAAAAATTTCTTTTTTTTTTTTTTTCGAAGGTTGGTAACACTGAGAATTTCTCGCCATTGTCCAAAATAAGAAAAGAAAAGGTCACGACGTCCTTTTCTAAATCCTCTCCAACAAACGTTCAATTTTTTTCCCTAACATTTAAACATCATATATAAAAAAAACAAACGTGAATTATTTGTTTATTTTTTTAAATAAACGGAAACGAGATTAAAATATGATTTCCGGTCGACATTTTTTTTTTTTAAAATAATATTTTCTCCGACGTTCGTTAAATAAAAAAAAATAATAATAATAATAATAAAATCATTAAAACAAAATCGTGACGTAGAATGTATATATATATTAATGAAAGTAGAAGTTTGTATCAAGGAAAAAAGAAAGAAAGAAAAGAGAATCAAACGGTTAAAGACCGCAAAAGTGAGAGTTAAGGCCTTTTAAACAGGGAAAGCACGACCGGATGATGATGATAATAATAATGATAGTGATAATGATAATATTATTATTTTTACTTACTCTGGAGTGATAATTTTCATTTCGACCTGTGAAATTTTCGCCGGCGATAATTTCGTTAATGAATTGCAGAAAATTTTTTGTGCGCACGGTATGTTTTTCCAGGAATTTGGTTTTTTAACACTGTTTAACTTATGAGTGAATTCTTCGAGGTCTTGGATGTTGTTACCGTTTCTCTGTAACTTCTTCAGGTATTCCTCGTTGGCATCTTGTTCTTCTTTTCTCATTGTCAGGGATCGTCTCCTCGATTTGTTTTCATCAACGTTGTCTTTTGTATTGAAATGAAATTTTTCCAATCCTTCGATTCCGCTTTCGTCTATTAACCTCTTAAACTCGTTTTTACTTTCTTTATTATTATTATTATTATTGTTTTTATGAAACGGTGAAAATTTACCATGTCTTTCGTAGTTTTTCAAATTTGCGTTTTCGCTTGCATGAGTATTATTATTATTATTATTAATATTGTAAATGGTTGTTTCTTGCAATGATTTCCCTTGTCCGACATCCAAAGCGTTAAGTACATAATCACCGTTTTCACTTCTTTTAAGAAGATTAACATTAACGTCGAGTAATCTTCCGACTGCGACTGCACCTAATCCTAATGCGGCACCTGCACCTACTAAACCTAATGCTGGAAGCAAAACCGGACTGCTCGATGCGGCGGCACCTATTTTTTCTTGCAAAGCCGTTCTCATTCCCGTACCTTGATTCAAACCCAACGTATTACTTATTTTAGCCGTCGCTTCTGGAATTCCAAGATTTTCCGATATCCTTTGCGTCGCTTCGACAATGGGTTCCATGACGGGTCGAGTCATTTCTTTCATGCTTTCGACTCCGCTCTGTACGGTTTCTTTAATGCTATCCTTTAATTTTTCCCAAAAAGGACGATTGTCCGGAATCCTTATGTAATAACTGTTCGGGTTCGGATTGTTTCCGTAACTCATTCCCGCCATTTTCCACTTGTAGTAATCTTCTTTCGACATTGAATATTTTCCAGGATAGGAATAATGTTGGTACGTTTGTAAATAATTGTCGTTTCCAGGTCCGTAAGATGCATCGCGATAATAATCTGATTTGAGTCTGTTTGGAGATTCCGTTATGTCAATTTTATCGGTGTTGATGGTTGAACTTTCGGGAGCGGAAGTTGTGAATTCGATGTTTCGAACGGATTGTCGTCTGTTGCTTTCACGATCTTGTGTTATTCCAATGCTGTTGGATATGTCAGTGCTTGAACTTAAAGAATCTTCCGAAACTTCCGATAAACCCGGCTCGTACGCGTATGGACTCCGATCGGCAAATGGATCGTTTGAAAAATAAATAAGGGATGGCAGTGACGGGTCTTTAGATTTCGATAATTCTATTTCTTCCAAATCTCGTTCCACTTTGGCCGGTTGAGCTCCTAATTCTGGATGTGCGTATTGAAGAACGGGAGTTCTGACTCCTTCTTCGAACGAAACTCTCGAGGGTTGATTGGAATAGATGGAAGACGATGGGTAGTTGGAAATGCCGTGAGATTGTAGTAGGCGTGCTTGAGTCGGTGCAATAGGTATAAATTTATTATTTTCATCAGGGTCGGATTCAGGAGAAGTGTCCATTCTTCGATCGGCCACGTTGATTTTTCCATCTTTCGTCCAGATTTCTTGCGGATGAGTGTTCACCCATATGGGCTCTTCATTTTCATCAACATTTTCATCCATTCTCCTACTCGCTTTGTCGTTATCCCCGAAATTTATACTTCTCCCGTTTTTCCTTCTCTGTTGAATTTCTTTCAAATTAATTTTATTTATGAATTCGATGATCTTGGCATGATTTTTATCGGGGAACACGAGAGGAATGGGTTTTAATTTTTCTTCCGGTTTTTTACGATGAATGGGTATGGATTCGGCCAAACCCTTCCATTGACTTTTAACAGCATCATCTTCTCCAAACATGGAAGGTTTTTCACGTGTTTCATAGTATGACGACAACGAAATTTCTTGTTTTTCCGGTTTTCTTTTTTCCATATTTTTCAATGGTATTTCCGAATTCAATGATTGCTTATATGGTACAAGGACTCCGTTAATAACTTTTGCATTTCTCCAAGTGTGTATTTTATCTTCTGGTGTATCGGGTTCTCTTACCCCCTCGATAACCGGGACGCCATCTTCGATTGTTACGTCCGTAAGATGTCTAGGTTTTTTTTTTTGTTGAACATCGTCTTTGACAAATATCGCATCGGATCGTATTTCAACGGGATCGGGTACTAAATTAAGTTTTTTAGGCACTGGACGAGATTTCACGGGTACTTGTACGTATGGCGTTTCGCTGGTGCTACTCGTGAGCGACGATGAATTTCTACCATTTCGTTTTTTAACAATGAGGGTTGCGATTTCTCCATTTTTAGCTTTTACTTGTAGCAATTCGGAATCGGAGGGATCTAAACTTCTTGCCACGTGGAGTGCCGTTCTCGTGTACTGAGATTTGACTTTTTGAGTTGTTGAGTTTTCCGCGGTAAAAGCCATCGCGATCGCGATTGCAAATACAAACAATCTAACGCTCCTAGCAGACATTTTTAAGTCTCGTGATCTGTAACACAAAAAAAAAAAATTCATGTTTATAATAATCTTAAAAATTCATCTAGTTTTCGTGGCAACAACAACAACAACAACAACAACAACAAAAATAATAAATAACGGTAAAAAAAAAAAAATTTTTAATTTTATTCTGAGCTAAATTAAAATTTGTTTGTTTTTTTTTTTAATATTAAAATTCTCTTTTTTGTACACAACAACCAACAACCAAAAAATTATTATTATTATTATACCGTTGGGAGAAATTAAAAAATTTTTTTTTTTTTTATTCGTGTCATAATTATTGACACGTCGTGTCACTAACAAAGATATTTAAATTTTTTTTTTTACATACGGATATTGTCGGTTGTTGTTGCATTTGCATATAATCATTTCCCCCCCCCCCCCTTCTCTCCTAAAACTGTACATTTTTATTTAAATTGTTACACGCGAATATTCACATTATCATTATTATTATTATTATTATTATTTTAATTTATTACAATTATAAAAAAAAAAATTGTAGTTGAGATGGTCACTGACTATAAAAAAAAAAAAAAATTTAGGTCACTGGTTTTTAGTCAATGAAAACGAAAAATGGGACGGGTTTTTTTTTTGTTTGTTTGTTTGTTATTGTTTTCGAAACGAGATTTTTTTTTTTCTAGAAACAATCATTCAAACAAACAACATTTGAATTTTACTAAAAAAAAAAAAAACCGTCGGTTTCACTTTCTAATAAATTTTTATGTTTAAAAAACGGTAAAGTAAGAGAGCCGTACGACGATGTTTGTTCTTTTCCCCCCCTTCCCCCTCCCATTTTCCCTCTCACCTCCTCCTCCTCCCTCCTCCTTTTCAACGAACAAACTTTGTTTTAAATTTAAATCACGTCCATCGACAAACGTCGAATAAATTTAAAAAAAAAAAAAAAAACTTTAAAACTGGAAACAAAACAACGAAAATTCTATTTTTCTATTTTTTTACTCGTTTGTTTGTTTGTTGGGAGGGAAAAAAAATAACCGAATTAAAACCGACAGGAATCGTTCAATAAAAAAAAAAAAAAAAATTTTCTAGTGTCACGAAGAAGGTTATTGCCACGTAAAATGCGCGCGATAAAAAAACGCGGTTTATTTAACATCAATTACAATTATTATTATTCGTAATGGTTTCCAAGTATTATTATTATTATTATTATTATTATTATTATTATTATTATTATTATTATTATTATTAAATTTAAATGACATTCCTACTGGATCAAAACGAAACGGAAATAATGATGATAATGATGATGATGATGATTTCGCGATTGTTTAAATGAAAATTTAAAGTAAAAAAAAAATCAAATTTTTATTTATTTATTATTATTATTATTATTATTTATTGAGTGTCTCGCGTCTAATTCATTATTTATTTATTTATTTATTTTTTAAATTTGCGCCTAAATTTTATTTATTTATTTATTTATTATTATTATTAACGTCATTTAAGTTCGTACGAAATGAAAAAAAAAATGTATTTAAAGTTGCGTCGTTTGTTTGTTTGTTTTAATTAAAAAAAAAAAATTTTTATAATTATTATTTTATTATTATTATTATTTATTTATTCGGTTACGAGTTACACGCGCACGTACTCACACACGCACACGCACACAAAAGTTAACGAACTCTAACGTAAAGGGATTTCAGAGTGTCATAGAGAGAGAGAGAGAGAGAAAGTATTTTGCCTTCGGTCTACGTCTAAAGACACGACGCAGTAATTATTATTATTATCATTATTATTATTTTTAAACATAACCTCGATTACGATAATAATAATAATAATAACAACATTATTGTATGCTTGTTTTAAAACGGCTTAGAAAAAAAAAATTTTCTTAACGCGAAATTTATCAAAATAAAAAGGAAGATAATGTGCATGGATCGCCATTTTGTTTTGTTTTGTCCGTTAAAATAATAATTAATATTTAATGTAATTATTATCATCATTATTATTACAACAACAAATTTTTTTCTTTTAAATGTCGTTAAATGACAAAAAGTTAATAAAAATTTCGTAATAATAATAATAATAATTATAAATAAATAACGGAGGGAAAAATTACGATGGCGATATAATCCAAGTTAAAGTTAAAATCCAAGCCGGGTTTTTTTTTTTTAATTATGATAATAATTGATAATAATAATAATAACGGTGGTAATTAAAAAAAAAGAATTTTTTAATGAAATCATATCCGCACGGTTAACGGTTACTATTATTATTATTATTATTATTATTATTATTATTATTATTAAATTAATTATTGTGAAATAAAATAAAAAACAAACGTATAAAAAGTTTTTGTTTTGTTTGTTTGTTTTAAACGAGAGAATTTGTTGTTAAGCTTTTTTTTTTTTTTTTTTTAGAGTGAAAAACGTTCACTTTCGCAAAAATAAAAAAATTACATAAAACAACGTTTGTTGTCGTAAATAAATAAATAAATAAATGTCACGATTGTCGTTGTTGTTGTCGTTTGTTAAAAAATCGGCCCCATTTTCATAAAAATGAAAAAGAAATTTTCGTTTCGTTTTGTTTTTTTTTTTTTTTTTTTTGGTTTTCTCACGTTTTTACGTGATTCTCTTCGTTAAATGACCGCCTTTTTTGTCGTCTGATTTAAACTTATTATTATTATTATTATTATTATAGTCACTCTTAAACACGACAAGGCTCTTATTTGTCGGGGTTTTTAAGCATTTATTCCAGGTTTCTACCCGACGATTCCTTAGGGACAAATACTCGAATTTCGTTGGTGCTATTAATAATATTATATTATTATTATTATTATTATTATTATTACTATTATTATTATTGTTATTATTATTATTGTTATTATTATTGTTATTATTATTATTATTGAAAGGATTACAAACGTTCGAACCTAGTATTAACTGGTTAATATTTTTGCTAACAACAATTTTTTTGCTAATTTGTATATAAAATGGCGACAAAAATTTTACGTATGCCTCTTTCGATTTTTTTTTTTTTAAATTTTGTCTTCTGGTATTTTAAAAAAACGTGACTGATACGTGATAATAAAAAAAAACAATATTATTATTATTATTTTTATTAATTAATTTTAAATACGCGATTAAAATATTAAATATAATTTTTTTTTTCAATGACTGTTCCACCACGATTAAATTTTTTACATTTTGAAAACAATAAAAGTGAGAAGTTAAAAATTATTATTATTATTTATTATTTATTATTACTATTATTATTATTATTTCCTTGTATTCAATTAACAAAAGAATTAAGTGGAACGTTCGTTAAATAAAAAAATTAAAAAAAGAAACTGGAATTCGAGTATTGGAAAAAAACAACGAAAAAAATTAATAATGAATTGAAATCTTTGTATAAAAAAGGAAAGAAGAAATATAATGACAAAAAGAGAGAGAGAGAGAGAGAAGAATGATAAATAAATAAAAATTTATTTATTTATTTTTTTTTCTCGAAAAGCGAACGTAATGTTTAAAATTCGAACCCGAAAAAAAAAAATAAATAAATAAATAAAATATTATTGAGTAACTCGTCGTAGTAGAAATTAGAAAGTGGATTCGAAACTTTTTAAATTTTTTTTTCTTTTTCTTTTTCGATATTATTATTATTATTATTATTATTATTATTATTATTATTATTATTATCATTATCATTATTATCGTTACGTTCCGTTTGTCGTTCGGTAATAAATAGAAAAGAAAATAAAAGAAAAGAAAAACGGGAAAATTTAAAGGGAACGCCTAGGGAATAAGTTAATAAAGAAAAGCGATTTAATTTTTTTGGTTTTCGCGTTCGCGATTCCAAAACCGTCGAGCGATTTTATATTAAAATCATTATTATTATTAGTATTATTATTATTTCACTACCGAACGCGTGAAAAAAAAAAAAAACGAGAAAGAAAAAAAAAATTATTTATTAGAATTTTCGACCGTGAAATCTAGATTAATTTAATTCATTTCTCTCGCGAAACGTCGTCGTCGTCGACCGTTACAGAAAAAGGAAAAGTTCCATATTTTTTTTTTTTAATTAGATTTATTATAACTTTTTAATTTTTTAAAAAATTATTCTCCTTTCGAAAAAAAAAAAAAAAAGAAAATCTTTGAAAGTTTCTGCAAAATTTCCCAAAACGTGGAGGGGAGGGGGGAGGGAAAAAAAAAGTTTTTTTTGATTGCGCACACGGTTTATAAATTAAATACGAGAACTCGATGTTTCTCCGTTTCATTCTCACAAAAAAAAAAAAATATCTGGCATTGTTTTCATTCAATCAATCAATCAATCAATTCGCTGATAGCAAAAAAAAAATTACGTAATAGAAATTTTTTTAAGAAAAAAAAAAAAAAAAGTCGCGTAACAAATGTGATTAAGCGGTTACTATTCTCCATTATTATTTTTCCAAGTATTTATTTTTAGTAAAAAATAAATTTACTTAGAAAGTTTTTTATTTATTTATTTATTTATTCGGGGGGCCGTGGGGTAGCGGAGGGCGGGGGGCGGAGAAGACAAACATTAAATTCGCAACGAGTGAACGTAGAAAAAAAAAAAAAAACGATGGTAATTTTTTTTTATTAATCGGATTTTACGTACGTTAGAAAATTTTAATTACTTTCTTAAATGGCGTCTCAGATTTTTTTTTTACAATATTATCACCGAACGAATGGGTATGATCAAAACAACAACAACAACAACAACAACAACTTCAACAACATCCACAATCACAACAACAACAACAACAACAACAACAACTACAACAACAACATCTACATTCACAACAACAACAACAACATCCACAATCACAACAACAACAACAACAACAACTACAACAACAACATCTACATTCACAACAACAACAACAACATCCACAATCACAACAACAACAACAACAACAACTACAACAACAACATCTACATTCACAACAACAACAACAACATCCACAATCACAACAACAACAACAACAACAACAACCG